TAATTATTGAAATTAACCATTAAATAACAAAAATAAATAAATATAACAAATGTTTTAATTATATAATTTTAAAATATTTTAATTAATATAAAAGTGATAATGAAAAAGAATTTAAAAAAAAAATTAAAATACCAAAAAAATCATTTATAATAAAAACAAAAATATTTGTATATAATACTATAATTAAGATTATTTCTGAAATAATTATTTAAAATTAAACAATAGTTATTATTGTCAATACTCAACACTAAAGGTTATTTCAGCGAAATCTTACCCCACCTTGACAATAAATTAGATGTGTTATTTAACAAAATAAAAACTATATCTGAAGCTCACATTAAAAATAAACATGGTAGAGTTTCAATACACGATAAAATGTTCAAATGTGGCAGGCGTTACATTTTGAGAAAATTTTAGAAAATAGGTTATTAAGGTTACTATTCCAGTTTTACATAAAAAAATATTAGGTACTATATGCTTTCATAAAAAATTTACAGTATCAACTTTAAAAGTCAACTTGGTCGCATTTCATGACGTTATAAAATGTTTTTTATACTATTTTTGTATATTAACGTATCTTGATAAATATCAACAAACCCTTTATTATCATGAAAAAACGCAGTGTAATTATCGCCTAAGCTGTTAAAACAATCAAGGCCAAAAGGGTCCTTTAGACCAATTAAAAAATTTAAGTTCTGTCAGATTTACCTAACCTCTGCTGATCTTAGCAGAAAATTACATAAACAACTATTAATTTAAAAAACAGTTTAATTTTTAATCCTATACCTTTTTTATTAAAGTTTTATTACACCAAAGAGATGATAAAGTTGAATTTTTGCGTATCCATAGGGACCAGAAAATAGATACGGCTAGCCTTGCAAAATACCCACAAATGGCTAGACAGAATTTTTTTACTAAAATTAAATAGAAAAGATTTTTACCATCTTAATTAACTTTTTTGGTTCCAACAAAAGCTATATTCTATTCAAAAAATATTTGGTTTGATAAAATTTAATATTAGTTAGGTACAGGACCGGCTTAAGCTTTTGTGAGGCCCTAGGCCATATACGAAGAGCCTCGCCTTAATATCAGAAAGTTATTTATGAATTTTTTTGTGACAGCGAGATAAACGTATTATACATTACAACACTTGTTAAATGTTGACAGAAATTCGACCTTGACAGTTAGGTACAGGACCGGCTTAAGCTTTTGCGAGGCCCTAGGTCATATACGAAGAGCCTTGCCTTATTATTAAAATGTTATTTATGAATTTTTTTGTGTCTGCGGGATAAACTTATTATACATTACAACACTTTTAACATGTCTGAGAAAATGTTTTAATAGTATTGTAGACATAAGCGGTAAAGTGTTTTTTCCAGCCTGAAAAATGCCACTTTACGGCGTAGGTCTACAATACTATTAAAATATTCTTTCAGACATATTAAAAGTGTTGTACACAGTTTTGTATTAATTTTTTTAAGTATCTTATTAATTTTGTTAATACCAAAATATAAGGCCTCACCTTTTCCTTAATTAATGTAAAAAATAGCGAGTTTAAATTAATTTTTAATAAAAAATATGAATGTGGTTTTCTAAAAAGTCTGCTAAATAATAATAAAAACAATAACCCTAAACCTTAACCAATAACTCTAAAAACCTTAAAATTTTACATGCAATAAAATATAATAAAAGTTGCCATTGTTGTACCCATTTAATTTTTTTGTTTAATTTAGCCATTTCCGCATTTATAAATAAAATTTTTATCTAGCTCGATCCGGATAATAAGCAAATAGAAATAATTTTCTGAACTAAAAGATGCAAATTTCCTGTTACGGAGACAGGAGACACGCTAGACTAAACTCATTGTCAACATAATGGTAAGTAAAAATAAGTTTTACAATGGAAATTATGGTCCAACGAAAGAATTACAAAGGTCACCTACAAAATTACGCTGCAAACAATCACTTTGATTAATTTCGCTTTGTTTTTTAAATTCAAACTTTGCCCTGAAAACTGCGGCTTGTTTGTTAAAAGAATATTCAACGTCTTATCTTTCTTTTTTCTAAACGTATTATACTTGACCACCGGATAAGGATTGTGGACAAAGAAATCAACTGACCGCATGAAAATTTTAATTTGTTTTTATTAAAACAGACCCGAAATTCGATACACGACATTTGCAGTTTGTTTTCTTTATTAGGAAGAAGAAAGGGCAGATGCAGATTTAATACGTTGGTGTCAATAGATGAACCATTGGTTTCTAATCGATCAAAAATAAGACATCGATATTTTTAATGCCTATAGAAAACATTGCAAAATCTCATTGTAGAACGGTACAAAGAAAATAGCATCACGCCGCAAGCATGTGTGGGCTGTTGATTTTATTTTGAGGCGTTTATAGGAATAAAAGTATTTATTACACAAGATTATGATGGATTAGTTTAAAAAGTATATTAAAAGTAAATTATGCAGATGTTGCTTTGAACATGGTCCTTGTCGACAATTGACCGTAGCAACAACAATTGTTTAAATAAAATTGGTGGGTAGGACTTTGTAACCTTGTTACATGAAAGGAGGAAAAAACCTGAAACACTCCTTGTATCCGGTGGTCTTTCATTGGTCAGAATTAAGATCAAACAGCGAATCAAGTCGTACCGTGGAAGCGTATCATTAAGCGAGAACACGACAAAAGTAAACAATGCAAAAACAATTAAATCGAGAATTGGAATAAACATAATCATTATATCTCCATTATTTGCATATCTTGCATGAAAAATCTAGTCTCCAGCCCAGAACAGAATCGGATCCAGGATCAAAGCACATGTGCAAATAGTTAGTTTGTTAAACATTTCTTCTTCTTGATTTGATACTGACGTTTTTAAAAGTTCAGGTTTTATATATATTTAATTTAATTTTAAGATTAATAATACCATTTTGAAGCCTACAAATTTTAAAAAACTACAAGATTGTTTTTTATTTTGCAGTTAAACTAGGTTTATTTATTTAACTTAGTTTATAAAAATGGCTTTATACTTAAGGTGTCTAAAAATCGTGCTTTTGTTTCGAGCGTGCTGTTCAACCTCATCAGTGCCGGATAGCCGTGGTGTATAAGCATGCTCGAAACACGCTGCCAAAAGCCTTATATAGGCAAAAAGGAACAGCGACAGCGGTAAGATGTAATTAGCCACCATCTACCGGCAGTACAGAATAATTAATCATTTTAACATTAATATTTTATTTGTAAACTATGTAATTGATAATTTTGTCTACTTTTTATTAAATTTTATTTTTTTTTGTGCAGAGATTATCTGAAGGAGTACATGCTTACACCAATAAATAATATTTTTATGTCAATCACCAGTGATCATATTATCATATATGTATATATATATATATATATATATATGTATAGTGTCGTACTTATTAAAATTAAAATTATATATAACTAAATACTTAAGGCTCAAGGCACCCAATAGATATCACCGACTAAAGATTACCAAAACCTATGTATACATATAACTACGATCACTGATGATGTATCATCAGTAGTTTGCATTAACATTTGAGTTTTTTTATAAATTTAGGAATTTTATTATAAAAATTTTAAAATCCGGGCCTGGATTCGCGAAACGAAAATGATTACAGCATTCAGAGAAATTAAGGTTATGGACCTGTTGTCCAGCAACTATGAATCCTGTGCCCATTATATCGGAGAGCGCATTAGACATCGGGAGATAACAATCGATGGATTTGCATTTACAGTCGGCCTATAGGAAACGGGCAGAAACAAAACTAATGAATGCCGTATTTTTTTTTACATTCGCCTACACAAAGTTTTTCTCTGTTCATAATTGGGTTAACATGGCGTTGTTGATAATTAAAATTATCGATTTGTTTTTCTCCATATATGGTTAATATATTTTATTTAGGTGTAAAGTTTAAACAAAGAGCATAAATTACTAAAATTTACTTTAAATTTTTAATGGTGTTGTTTTAATCGTCTTTTGTAAAAACAGCACATACATTTTTTTATTAAATCATAATGGCAATGGCAAAGATCGGTCCATGCATATAATTCTAAAATTTGTATTTTTAGTAAAGGAATTTAATAAAACTGGATCTGTTAACGACAAAATACATTCAAGTATATTTTGGAAAAAATACTATATATTTATATATATATATTATATATATATATATATTATATATATATATATAAAGTGTTTATAGAAAATTAAAAAAAAATGCTAATTTTGAGCAAATTCATCTACTAAATGACTAAAATTGTTATGTTAATAAAATATAATGAATTATAAATAGTTTGTATATAAAATTACAAACTAAGTTTAAATAATAAAAATGGAAAAGCTCCGTGAAAAGCTGCGTGCATAATTTATTAGAAAAGCGTATAATTTAGACAAAGTACAAAAGAAGTAACTTAGGATATTAAGTTGTTATCTTCGTCTTGATCAAACTCCGCCTTTTGTCACGGAAGAAACGCCACCAATAGAAACAGGTGTAATAAAGATATAATGAACACCCGACTCTTTCAGCATAGGTATACCTACCGCAAGATGTCTGATCAGTTTATTGATTATTTTATAAAAATAAAAGTATATAATTTTAGCTATCAAAATAATTGATTATTTTTTTTAATGTTGACCTTCAGAGACGTGTGTTCTCTCGATAATAAAAATATTTTAAGCAATTAAACAAAAACATCTAATTGGGACAATCTATTTAAATTTCCGTTTCCTTTTGGATGACATAATTATCATTGTTTAGAAACGAACTTGGAACTTTCTTAGATTAGTTGGTTTATCACCCACTCGAATAAACAAATGTTGTCGCGTTAATTTCCAAAAGCTTTATTTTTGGTTTATTACTAATATCTTGATATATTTCAATTATTGTACAAAATTGTCCAAAGAGTATATTTATACACAGTGAATTTGTTACATTCAAAATGTATTTTTATAATTAAAAACTTATTGTCTTACCTTTTAGGGAGGGATGATATAGTGTAGTTTGATTCCATTTACTTAGTCTGTAACATAAAAAAATAAACTTAGAAACAAACAAAATCAAGTGGGTTTGTTTTTCAATCACAGAAAACTTTCTATAATTAACTTGCATAATGCAGACCACTTTGGCACGTCAGAAATCTAAAGAGGTTAATTCGATATTGATTAAAATAAAATTAGAAATTTAAATTTTCAATGCGGGTAAAATCTTCTGTGTAAATGAAGAAAAACTGTCGAAAGCTTTATCGTGCTAAAGTAAACAATGCTTTAAAAATTTGTCTTTGTCACAGTTTAATAAAACTTACATACCAAATGCTATATATGTTATCTCAAACGTCGCTATCGTTTTAAATAAAATTTGCTTAGTAACTTAATACGCTTTTTTATTTTATTTGAGTTGTTAAGTGTCATCGTTTCGATACGATAAAAGACTGCCATATGGCTTAATTGTTGTTAAGTTTCGTAACGTAAATAATTAGAAATTTGTAATCGAATATAGGGGTGTATGTTCTTTGAATTTGTAACGGCATTTTTGACGCCCACAAATTCGATCTTAAATTATATATTTTTTGTTTAAAATTTAAAAAAATTAAAAGCTTTAAATAAATGAGCAAGTCATAAAAAATAATAGAGGACAGCTTTGAAATTGCAAATTTGAATTAAATTAATTTTATGTTGTTTTTATACTTTATTAATTACCTTAATTGAGGTTTTAATACTTTCAGTACAGTTATAAAATTTCATTATGATTTGTTTTGAATTAATAGACAATAATTTAATTAAATATACATTTAGGTGAACTAAATTTTCACATATTTGGGGTTTTTATAGTTTTTAATTATTAAAATAACTGTTACTGTAATGGTACTATTTTATAGACACAAATTATGTATATAATAATCTTGTTGTATAAATAATAAATAATTATAATAAGAAAATAAAAATAATCATATAAAATAGTACGAGTTTATAATATAAGTTTCTCTGAACAATAATTTTTAATCTATTAAATTTTTAAACAATAAAAGAGACCTTAAGTAAAATTTATCGTAATTTTTTGTATTTTTAATATTACCTGGGTAATTTTATTTTATATAATTTGCTAATGAATTTAAGTAGTTTAAACTTGTGTAAACAAGTATACGTTGACTAACAACTTAATCAAATATAAATGGAATTTTTAAGCTTAAAAAACAAAATTATTATTTTCTTTATAAAAAATATTAAATTTGATTTAATGTTTAGTGCAAATATTCAAACCACGAATCTCATTAGAGGTAGTCTATCAAATTGTATTGAAGTAACTAATTTGTCGTAATATAGTTGTAAATGCAATATGTACATTAGCAATTAGCGGGTGGCAGACCTGTATTCGTAGTAGTTGCGTGCGCTTGCGTTGAGGGGGCGCTGTGCATTTCCGTTCCGGATATGTAAGCCGGTAATTGCAAATAATGCCATGTGAGAAATTAATACAAGCCCCAAATATAATATAAACATTTTTTGGATTCACTAATTGATTGTGGGGCACCCTGTTGCTTTAATTTATCGAATAGTTTGTCAAACAAATCAAATTTGTTTGCCAATATTTTGGTGCTTTTATATATTATTTTTACATCGCGATGTATTTAAATAAATTAAAATGAATACTACTCAAATATTGGGGTTTGTTTTTTATGGTTATTTATTTGCATTTTTTTTTCGAATGTAAGGGTCTTCTTTGATATTCATTAAAGATTAAACAAAATATTTAATAATTTTACTTTTTTATGCTTTTAGTATATTAAATTATTAATATTTTATTATTATTATTTTTCTGATATTTAAAATGCAGGTTAATAAATCGGTTAAAAATATATTGCACCTTTTGCATAATTATTAAATAAAACGCTTAAATTACTGCCTATTTAAATTTAAATTGAAAAAAACTTAGGTTACGCCATCTATAACTGAAAAGCAAAACTAGCACCCCGTACAGTTAAGCCCCTATTAGTTCAGTACGTACCGGTGGTACCTTAAGGTAGTCAACCCAGATTACACGATCCGTCGGCGGGCCGTCTTCCAGTTCACGTCACCACACCTTTACGGTAATTAACCACCTGTACATACGTGCGAGACGACAAAGCTAGTTTGCTCCACGTGATTGTCACGTGACCACAAGCGTAGCAACATTTAATGAACAGTGTGCGGGGTACCGCAATTAGCCATAATGTGTATGTAAACTGGTGACCAAATTATGTACGGATATAAATGGGTGTTGGTGGGGGTGTCATTGATGCACTCTCGGCACACTACGCCCGATTGATATCAATCTGGAATAACACATTCTAACTAAATCCGTTGTTATAGGTATTGGACGTTATGGATGCATGTGTATGTGTGTGTTTAAGGGTTCAGTGGTTTAGGGCGAGAGAAGTTCATCAATTATATCTACTGAATCCGCAAATAGTTTAAGTTGAGAACTAAATATATTTTTAAAATTAGTTTTCTAGTTAAATTTGGTTTTTTGTATAATTTTGAAATTATTTTAATTGATTAAATAGAAGCCTAATTAGTTGACATTTTAATAAAATAAAAAAGGTCGTAGTATTATTTAATTAAAAAAGAAATCCCAGGCCTGAAACAAGATAAATATAAAAATTGCAATGAACTATAAAAGTTACAATTATGGTGGATGCGCCGGGATTATTTTATTTTTTCGTGAATATTGTTAAACATTATAAATTTCCTGCCTAACAACGTGAATAATAAACTCATTATTTACGTTGTTAGTAATCAGTGATTGACCGATCTCAATATTCACTGTGATTTCAACCAATCGGGTTTTAAATTGGAAGAAGGCGACTAGAATAACATTTAAAATTTTAAAAAGTGAGATTAATCATTTGACAGATGTCAGATTTTATCATTTAATTATCTTCTTATTGGAGTAGATAAAGTATAGTATTACACTCGAGATTATGCGCAATATTCACTCGTCTGTCGACTCGAGACGTAAACCTTAACCTCGTAAATAATTGTATTTTATGGATATTTTTACATTTACGGGGCTATTTATGGTTCACGTATTTGTAAAAGACAAAAGGACGATTCCTACTAACGGGACCAACAGTAAGAGAACATACTGTTTTATGAACATTTTTGAAGATGTGTTGTTCCTATGATAATAATTTTATGATAGTTTTCAGCAATAAAATTAAGTAATAATATCTTTCATAAAATTATTGTTATTCTTTTTGTCCCGTTAGTAATCATGGAATCGTTCAAAAATAAATTTTTACCGGTAAAAAATTTTAAATATAGAGTTGTATCATTATTATGTCTATTTTCAGAATGTTTATGAAAAATTAAAAGTATAGAAAAAAAGACAAGATGGCTAAAGATATAAAAATTCATTATGTCTAATACGCTCTGGGCTTATAATGACTGCACTGGTTCTGAATATGATACAAAAATTCTTAATGCAAAATGAAAAATTAGATTAACGAAAATTTAAAAAAAAATTGTTTGGTAAAAAATAAATATAAACTTTCAATATTTGCATTTTCAATTTAGAAATTGGTGCATGGTATTTAGGTCACAAAGAAACTGTATTAAGACTTCACTAAAGAACAGCGAAACAAGCGATAATGAGTATATACTATATACAATATATAATATACATACAGTTAATTTTTATATATTTGGAAGCTTTTCTGTGTTTTTAAAGTGTATTGTTTCTAAGGTTTATTTTATAATAATAATTTCTTAACGAAACTATGACCGAATCATAATCTTTGCAGATGGTAGGCATGTATTACACAGTTGTTGGGGCTCTAAAGAGAGTAAACATCGATTTCCGAATACGTCAAAAGATATGAACTTATTAAAAAATGGGTCCAGTTATCTGAAAAAAGGAAATTAGCTGAAAATGTATTAGAGATGATCATAATGTTGTCACCAGAAAAGAATACTTTGCAGGACAGAGAAGTCTCATATATATAAGTGAAAATTTGAAAAGAAAAATAATTTTAATTTATATTCGCATTAAAACTTGGCTAAAAGAGAATCTACAGAAAAGAAATATTGTGAAATCGATAATTAAATCGTTACAAAATGAACAATTTACTTGTGAGGTTCATAGTCATTTAAATCTAATAATAATTAAGAAATTTATAAAGGTAAACCTTAACAACTTAATAAAGCAAATTAACAATATATTAAACTTAAAAGACACCACGAAATTAAACCCTACTGCTCATGCTATTTTTCAAAATGCTAGAAAAGTTGCATTAAAAAAAGATCACAAGAAAATTATAAGATATTGAATTATATATTTTTTTGTTTTATATTTATTTCTTTATATTGTTTAATAAAATAAATAAATTAATTAAAATAGTATATAATATCCAAAACAATGTTTCTTACCATATATGAATGGTACTTTTGGAAATATGATAATGATTAAACAAGTTATACAAATTAAAATATTCACAGATTTTACAAATAAATACTAAATACACTTGTTTTATATTTACATACATGGTAGAAAACGAAGTTATTGTTTCCGTTACTCATTTCATTTAAAATCTAGCCACAAGTTAGATTTTAAATAAAGCGCCATCGAAGTAGCCAGTCAAATACGTTGATTGACCAATTAAAAGCTATTTTGGCAACAGTTGTCTGTAAACACGTAATTTAATTTTTAACCAAGTTTAAAGAAGGCGCTTTATTTGGCTCCAAACTATATACTCTTTAAGATAGTCATCTATTGGTGCTCTAGACCTATATTTAACTACTTTTTTATATGATTTTACTACGCACTACCAAAGCCAATTAATTGAATTTTTAAATACGAGTTTTGACCACTCAACTTGACAACCGTTCAATGTAACCAACCTACACTAATTTATACATAACTATAGTCGCCGCGGCAAATGTTTCAAATTGATGACGCAATGTCGAATGTCAAAAACCGATTTCTCGACATACGGTTAACCTAGCGGTTCCTTGGATTATATACGTAAAAGAAAACAACAATAATTGTAATGTCTGTGCTTAATTCAGAATATGATGACGCAAGTTGAAACATTCACCGCGACAACTATATATACAATTACATTATAATTACATTTAAAACTAGTTTAGTTTGTATAATTAATACAACAATTTTGGTTCCTTATTTACCAACCAAAACCCTAAATTTGCAACGTTGCCGCAGTCCAGATAAAAAAATTTGAACTTTATACATAAATTTTATTGCATAAAAGTTCTTGTCTAAATTAACAAGAATGTGTAAAAAATGTATTATAATAAAAAGGGGCCTCATAGGAAAAGGTTTAGGAACCACTGCTATATATAAATACAAAACCTAAAAGTAGCAAATTTGGCGAATGCGCCGGGATTAAATTTTTATATCCATTACCTATTTATAATAAAAAATGTTATTGGCTATTAGCATCTTTTTTAAACCGCATGAAAATTAAAATCACAAATAAAAATGAAATTTTGATAAAAACAAAAGCTGAGGTTGAAAACAAAGACTACATAAAAATAGCAAATAAATTTAATAAAATGTTACAAAAAGTATGAAGTATAAAAAATTTATTCTCTCGGTTCCTATTAGCAATCTGAATTATTTTAAATTTTAAAAACGAAAATGCCTGCTCAGCATTTTGCGTTTAATTAAATATTGATTTCATCCTCTACGCGCTGAAAATTCCAAATATTTATTAAAACCTGTGTTCTGTTTTCATAAATGTTGCTTTCTGCATTAGGATATTTTTGAACCGGGCATAAACCAAAACGTATATGTTTTCATTCCATTTAATAAAACAACGAGCAGAATTATCATAAATATGCATTATAAATTGCATGTGCAACGCGCAAATTTTACTGCATTTTGACTATAATACCGCTCTCCTAATGCTGCTGTTCCAAAGACTTTTATCAAAATGATGGACAATCGTCAAAACCAACAGATTTATACCGAAATATACGGCCTACACCATACATTTTACGACGTTATAACAAAAACACACACTTCATATACATACGAATTGCACTGTAGTGAGATACAAATGTTCATCCTTTCCAACCAATATATATATATATATATATATATATATATATATAAACATATTTAATTAAGTTATAATTGTCAATAACACATTTAATTAAATTATGTTGTATTAGAAAATTAAACAAATAAATATGGTTTAACGCACTAAGTGTGATTGAATGTAACAAATGAAAAACATAAATTTGTATGCACCGTATTAAATGCCTGGATATTGTTTTAAATTAAATATAATTAAAGCTTTAATTTTCATTGATAAATTCGCAGTTTACAATAATATTTTACGAAATTAGGTCTCATTATAACGCGGCGTTAAAAATTCCGACCGATATCGGCTCCGGTTTATTATTAGTTAGTTTCAATTACATTATTATTCACACATATTTGACATAACCTACCCAATATTGTTAATAGTAAATACTCGAAAGCCAATGATTGTTAAATACATGATCATTTAACAATGAATTCAAGTCAATCACACAGGTAGGGAAATCAATTAAAGCCGAATAAATGCATACTGTTCAACTGACAATAAGAATCAATTTTAATTTTTGATAATTTTATAAGTGTTTATAGAATTTGTATTAAAGTATGTGTAATGATAGTTGCCTAAACTTCTATAAAAGGCTGAGTTGAAAAGGGTCCAAATATTAGGGGAACTCGCTTATACTTTGTTTCGACCCCATCTAACAACCAGACAATAAACTAACTGGTTTTGCCTATTTAGATTACGTTTGAATATTTCTTTCAAAAAATTACTCTAAAAACATTTATAAAAAATATTAGGAGCGTTAATTTTACAGAAGAAAGGAAAGAACAGTACAAACGGAGAATGTTTCATGCGTTGTTACAAACAAAATATTCAGGTAAAATTATTTTTGACTTCAGAGCAGTCTTTAATTAATCAATCCTAATTTATCATAATCATAATTTTGGAGGACACAGGAAAGAACAGGCAGCATAAACAAAGAATGTTTAACGTGTTGTTAAATGCAAAATATTTAAATAAAATTATTTCTGACTTCAGATAATTGTTTAATAACTCTTTAACGATCCTAATCCAAAAATCGATTTTTTGACGCTTGAGTCCCTTTTCTAGAAGCGCGTCACATAGTTTGTATTGCAAAATTTATTTTGTAAATGTTTCCTTCTTTAAAAAATACATATAGGTTATATTTTTTAATGATACATAATATGTTCTATTTTGTTATAATTAATGTAAAACATGAAAATGTACCTTTTGAAATTATTCAGTAAATTATTTTTATTTTATTTTTATTACGATTTTTCTTAAGAGATACGTATTTAGGTAAAATATGGCACAAGACATACATACATATTTCCGCAATCTAGATACAATTTTTGGTAAACAAAAAATAATAATTATTATAATAATTTTCCCGTGCACATTGATAATGCACATACGTATTATTGTATATTATTATATAAGAAATAATTCGTATTACCTCAAATGCAATTTTATTAAAAAAAATTATTATAACCTTACTTTCTCTAGATTTTAAAGATTATTATCCTAGGGCCGTCGTATATATCAATAAATCTGACATCTGTTAAACAGTTCCAACCTCACTTTTTCCCAATATAAAACCCGATTGGTTTAAATCACATTGAATACTGAAATCGGCCAATCACGGATGCCTAACAACTTAAATATTGAGTAGAAAAAGTTAATTTCTGCACACTGCACTAAAGTTTGCAATAGGGTACCTATTAAGATACTAAATACACGGGCTGAAGTTAGGGTGAAATCGCTTGACAGTTTTCAGATATCAAATAAAATGTCATACAAAATTGGCTTTAAATTCTTATAAACATTACTTTGTGTTCGTCATAGATAAAGTTTGGTTGCAATTTGTTTTATAAACTTCTTAAAAAGACTTGCGGAATGCCGCAACCTACACTGGTGCATAATTAAACCAGCGTTTATAAAACTTATAAATAAATCCCAAATTTATTTAAATTTAAAAAACTAAAAAAATTTACTGCTTTTTTAACCAAGCTCCTTGAAAAAAATGGTACTTAAAATACATAAAAATGATTCTCATAACAGTGCTTTAATATTTTTTAAAACTATAAATTGCAAAAATATTAATTAATAAAATGTTGTTAATAGGCTTAAAACGTAAACAATAAGTAAAAAAAAGAGAATGCAAATAAACAATGAAAATAAGAAGACAATAAACTTTATTCATCTTTAAAACAAGTCGCGCTTTGTCCCGCTAATTTTAAATTGTCTACCACATGCACGGTAATTTTTCTATATTCCAGTTATGAAATAGAACATGTTTTCTGGACAATAAGAACAAAATAAAAGGAGAAATAGGTGGAACATCCCTTATACGCGCCGAGTACGGCTGTTCTATATGTTTTCAAGTCACCTAACATGATATACCGGTATTGTTAGTGAATGCCACACGGATGCTGTATTGAAAATTAAATAAGCCGCAGAGAATGTTCAGTTTCGGTGAAAGCTCGCTCTGAATCAGAAGGTAAGAGTAATTTTCCGTTGTGTTTTTGTTGGATTGTTAGAAAACTTTATTTGCTAGTTATACATGTTTATGTTTTCATTGTTACATGTGTGTTATTCATTCGGTAAAGTGTTTTAAATTATGAAAGGGAGAATTTTTTATATTGTTACAAATTTAAGTTTTTCATTATTTTAAATGCAAACTTTAGTAATTAAAATTTAATCAACAAAAGCAATTTTAAATTTTACTACAAAATTATAGGTACTTTTAATAAATAAAATATAAGAAAAAAATAATTTGTAAGTACATGCAAAGTTTTTATATTTAAATTACATGTATAAATTTTTTGTTAAATAGTTAGTTGTAAAATTAATAAGGTTATTAAGGTAGAAATCCTTAGAAAAATTTGTTGATTGTAATACAATTTAAATTGATTTTAATAAATACTTAAAAAATCACCTTGTAAAAATATTAGATAAATAAAATTATATGCTCTAACTATTATTGATAAATTTTAAATTTTAGCAAATTTAGATGTACCTATGTATAATTATGTTTAAAGTTAAATTTTTACTTTTAGTAGTATAAAGCTTTTTCTTATTTCTTTAATTTTGAAATTACATTAATGTTTATGCTTTTATTAAATATCCCCAGTAAAATTTACACATGATTTTGATATTTATTTAGTAAAAAATTAATAGTTTGATAATAAAAATAAATATTTTGAAGAAGGTAGACAAAAACTAGAGAGATACTTTTTAAAAAATGGTACAAAACTGTATATTATCAAATTGATTCGTTGGATTGGATGGACACACATTTTATAGACTAGCGGCAAGTTAAAAATACTGTTATTTAAAATTATTTAGCATTGTAATAATAGATAAATAAATAAAAAATCAAAGAGTTTTTGTAAAAATGTTAAAGTAAAATTTAAAATGTTTTCAGCAAATTTAATTTAATAGTTAGTAGAGCCTAGAGTAAATTAAGTAAAATTTAAAATGTTTTCAGCAAATTTAATTTAATAGTTAGTAGAGCCTAGACTAAATTTGTAAAATTTAAAAAGATAAAGCTATAATAATTTTGATGAAATAAAATTAAAAGTGTTTCTATAAAACCACATAATAAAAATAAAACAAACAAAAAACAAAACATTTATTTAAAAACACTGAGCACATGACACCAACATGCTGTCCGTAAATGTTACCTTAAAGTCTATAAAGTAATCCATATTTAAAATAACAATCACATAATGTTAAAGTCCATCTCTTCTTGATACAAGGAACAAGTTCAAATCACTAAGTCGCGAGTCAGTTAACACTAAGAGTAAACAAGTATTGAAGCAAGCACGTTCCGCGATCGGCAAGCAAGTGTGAGAAAATGTTCAAGTGTTCAAGTAAGTACTTGATCGTCGGCCAAGGATGCCCCGCGCAGGACTGCACCGTGTCGCGTCCTGCCGCTGCGAAGGATAACCAAGAAATGAAGGCGTCTAAATAAGACATGGGCTTAAGGCGCTTCTTACTGAAAGACGGCGCCGTTGCAGGACGCCTGCCGACGACTGACAGAAGACGTCCGTAGGGGGACGACGCGCGCCGTAATATCCCCCCCACTCCCACTACTTTAAGATCGCCACGCCTCCGGTAGGGGAGGACGCTAATTAAGTGCAATTTTTAAGTAGCCTCCAAGATTTTTTAAGATCTACTTTCGGTTTCGTTCTTTTATCCCTACTTCTTTTATAACGCCGTAGCTTTTTTCCTCATTTCCAACACACGACTCTACTCTCGATTTTTAATACGCATTTATATTTTTTTCAACTGCTTAGCTTAAATGCTTTTAACTGCTTTTAAAATCTTAGAAGTTAAAAATGTAAGGCAAAATTTCAAAATTGGAAGCATTTGGATCGAAACAAGGATTTATAATGATTACACTCTTGAAATTTGTATCAACCTATAGAAAATTCTTTAAAATAAAAGTTAAAATAAAAATAGGTTTTAAAAGCATCTGCATTTTTATCATTATCGTGATTGATAATTTTTAAACTATTAACATGCCTTTTAAAAATTCTAAACTGTCTAAAATATTCAAAAATAAAAATTATAACCCATTGCTTGTCCTTAAAATTTATTAAAAATTAAAATATTCCAATTTAAAGCACCGAATATTTTTCATAACCCAATTCCAAAGTTCCTTGAACTTTGAAATATGCACGCTTGCTTTCCGAAATCGAAATTAAACACGATTGAATAAAAATAAAATCATAATACTATGCATCCCCTCCACTAAAAAACTTTTTCTAGTCGTTTTTTTCCTATTTTCATATTTGTTTTGATGTGACCTGCAGACGACAAAAAGACTGGCTATCGTTGAAAAGAGTGGGATTAAAAAACCGGACGGTCGAGTGCGTTACAATGCTTGCGACTTGATAGCGAATTAAAATTGCGATTGCAAGTTTTACAATGAAAAAATAATAATTGTTGAATTGGATGAAACTAAGTTATGTGATTGTTATTTAAACGGTCTAAATCATGCAGTTATGTTTAAGTTTTTTAACACTTTGTTGGAGTCTTGAGGGTTATCACAGTCTTGATGGATCACTTTTAACTTGGAAACAGTCACTTAGGCACATCTTCTCACTGCGTTGGCTGTGGTCTTTATCCTTTTTACACTAGCTGTTTCTGCACTTGTAACGTGTCTTTAAAGCCGGTTTTATCACATCACTTGTTTTAGAGGGCAAAATAAAAAAAATCCAGGCAAACGAAAAAAGTAAGAAGCTTGTACGACGAGCTTATAGAGTCAAAAAATCTTACCTTGTTTTGTGTTACAGTTTTCTTAAAGATTATAAAATTCGCGTGTAGTTTCTGTAGGAATCATAACACTTGGGGTACATGGCAATGAATGCTCGTCTTGCGGGATACTATCAGGCATTATCAAGGAGTGGGGAGACGCATGAGCAGCGTCGGGGCGCCAAGGATGCCGGCTGGTGGCGCCCTCGTAGGTCCTTCGGGCTGCTTGGGAAGTTTTCACGCAGCTTTTTACGTACGCATCGAGGCAATCGCGATAATTTTGCCTGCCTGCCAGCCGCTCGCTGCATGGGATGAGAGAGATTCGGTTGGGTTTTGGGGTTTCGGTTGAAGCGGGATTCAAGCTTTGGTTTGGGTGTTTTTCGGTGGTATGTGTGGGCATTTTTATGAGGTTTTTTTGCTGTGGTTAATAATTCTTTTGTTTATTTTTCATTGTTTTATAGATGTTTGTTTTTAAAATGACAAATAGCGTAAAATGATTGTTTTATCTACCAAAGGTAGAATATTTTTAGTAATGTAATAGTTAAATAACCCTATTGATTTTGGTGGTTAAAAGTTTTTATCAAGATTATTATTTAATATTAGTTATTATTTTTGTGTATAAATTTAAATTTAAATTTTTTAAATTTTTGTATTTTTATTTTTAAGGTTATACATAACCATAACCACACATGTGTGAAATTAAAAAAGGTTTGTTTAAATTTAAACTAAGGCACTTATGTTATACAATATTTTTAATAGAAGTTATTGATGGCTGCTATCCAGTTTTCTTGAAACCTGTTATTAGTTAGTTAGTTTTAATACTAAAAATTCAAAAAAAAACTTGTTTCTTGATTTTTTCAACAGTTGATAATTTGTAATCTACAATTTGTATCTACAATTTTAATTTTAAATGACTAAAATTACGACATAAAAAACTAAGTGTATTCATAATAAGTATAATTATTTTGATACTCAACCCCCTTGATCTATTTAACAGCCAATGGTCAAACTCGCCCAGGACAGGGCAGTGCCGTATCCTGTACACTAGTATTTTTTCATATTATTTAATCTACAGGTTTTTGCATATTTTGGGACATATTTATGTATAAAAATGTACATTTTGTTTTTATTTTAGATTTATAAATCTAAAACTATAGTTTTAGTTTTAAATTTAGTTTTTGCTATTCTATTTTTAATAAATTTTAAACCGTTAGGTGTATTAAAAATTAAGGAATTTTTCAATTCAAATGTATTTTAAATTCTACAACAGAAAAATCTTTAAATGATATTAGATATATCGTGGGCATACTGCGAAAATCATCCCAAAAAGAAGTTTCCAAGAAAAACGGATCTTAATTTTTTGGAGTAAGTGAAAAATCCAGTGGAAAATAAAATAAATATGTTTTACATTTTTTTTATTTCTTTATATACTGAGAGAGATGTGGGATAGTAAAAAACACAATTTTTAAAGAAAAAAATTTAATATGCAAAGAAATAAGAATAACAACTCAAAAAATGTGGACTTAGTGGATTTTCGCAGTACGCCCACGATATATTGTATATTATTTTAAAATAATAAAGGAACGAATATAATAAAATACATAATGTATGAATGCGACAAAATAAAAGACCAAAACTAAATTAAAAATAAAAAAGATTTGTCAGTTTTTGTAAAAACTTAACAGGAAGCAAAATAAACAGTAATAAAAAATAAAGAAACATAATAAGACATTAATGGAATAAAAATGGATGTGAAATAGGATTGTGTAACGAGGAAAGTGTTAAGCGTGCAGCAGCAAGCACGGTGCTCCATGGATAGAAGCATAAAGCGTGCGTTATAGTAAATGAGAAACAGTTTATTGATTTCTATTAATGGCAGAGCCATAACAACAGGTGTCCCTCGTTCCAGCAGTTAAAAAATAAAAAAGTGCAACTTTTTTAGTTCCACTTTTTTCAATGGTTCAGGCAATGACACCTATTAATACATTTTACGATTTAACATTGTTTTCATGAAGTGGTTTAAAAAACGCTGAACTTTTTATTAATTATGTACAAATATTTTTTGTTTTATTCAACATTGACTTTACTACTCATGTTATTCGTTTAATTTATTTACTAGGCTTAAATGCAGTTTTTATTTGGTTTAGTTTATTTAATATTCTTATTATTTACTTTTATTACATAATAATAAATATAATAATTATACAAAAATAAATAATTATAAATTAAAAATTATAAATAAGTAATGTTATTACTAATAACTTATTAGTAATAACTTATTACATACGTATTATCGAATTTTATATTTGTATACATGTGTTATGTAAAAAAACTAGCTGCCAACCCGCGGGCTCCGCTCCGCTTTATTGTTTTGCATTATGTAATCTTAAAAAAATTGTAACATAAAATATGTTTTTAAAGGTGCAATTTAAAAATCCATTTAACTTAAAAGATATATTACATCAACAAAAATAAAGTCCTGGGATTTCAAAATATTATGGGGATTTACCATGTTCTAGAAATTTTTGTAAAAGGTTAAATGTCAAAAGGTCAAAGGTTAAAGGTCAAATGTCAAAATTTTAAACGTTAAAAAACATACTGGCCACGCCGCGGTTCGTCAGTTGGGATTACGTAACAAAACAAAACACTTTTTTTTGAATAAATTAAAAAAAATATTGTAAAGGAATGGAAAGTTTTATTATGCTAAATATATGAAGTGTTAATTGGAACAGTTGCAAGGATTAGCTAAACATCTATATATTAATGCCTAGACAAGCTATTTGGTTAGCTTATTGGAAAATGTATATATAAATAAAAAATATTTACATCGCCTTTTATAAAAAACATACATATTTAATAAAAAAACAAAACAAATAAAAAAACAAAAAATAGTCTTTATTTCTCTTCCCGTCAAAATCTATTCAACCGTTTCGGAGATTATCCTGGACAAAAATTTAATTTTATTTATTTGTATAGATGCAGTGATCGAAAAAATTGAGGTGCTGGAATTGCAACCTCCTAGTAGGTACAAAAATGTGTTGTAGTAGTCCTGATTGTCCTGATTTTTTTTACTAAATAGAGGTAGCCGAACGCCGTTCCAGTGCGTTCCGCCTCAAATCGAGCCCTGTATAGATGTATATAGATGTAAAATTAATAAAAACTGTGCTGGATTACGAAAAATTATTTAATAGAACATTATCTAACAGGCGGAGAAAGCGCTTCTTTAAAGCCGAGCTCAGTGTTCGATGCCGAGGCTGCATATCTGAGCGGGGCAGTTAATATCCTTTCTCTACCGTGTTGTATACACATTAAAAATACTTTTGCGACATTTTGCCAGGGTTCACATTTTCTTTGATGATTTCGAGCTAAACAGGATAGATGGAACCACTCTTCCTATGTAATTTCAATGAATTTTCATTATTGTACGGTGTGTGTACGGTGTATATTAATTTGACTTTCTATATAGGCTTATGTGTTTTTTGTTTAGTTATTACATCTTAATTGATTTAACTGCAAGTAAAAATTATTATTTTTTAACTTGGGAGGTATCATTTTTTTAATATTAACCAGGGTTTGCTACCGAAACATACTTACTCCCGGTATCGTTTCAGTAACTTAAAAAAACGGAAGGTAATATGTAACTAAA